CGGATGTGATGGGGACCAAATAGTATGTCAGAAGAGAAGCACGTCCCCTTCTGCAGTACAGCTGGCTCCCTACAGCGGGGAGCCCGCAGCTCCCATGTGTGACATGAGCTGCCACRTTTTCAATGAATGAGTGAATGAAAGTTAAAACGAAGAGTATTTACGCTGTCTCCCACCCCCATCCACACACTGACGTACTTTAGTACTCGCCACGGTATTGACCATGACGTTACCTATCATGCAGCATAAATTCCTTCAGGGTTACAACACTCACAGGCCGCCCCCGCCGTGACCATTCAGTCAGCAAATACTTCTCCGCTTGTGGAAAGACTTAGAAATGTTGTTGGAACCTGCGTGTGGATCTGTCTGAGCTGAGCATCTGACCCCGCTGTGCAAATGCAGGAGCGTGCGCGTGTCCCTGCGTGCRTGCCGGTGCTCCGGCTTGCACACGCTTTGGGAAGTCCCAAACACACGGCACGGTTCCAGGGTGCCCTGAGTGCMCCACATAGAAGTTTCCTTTGCAGGAACGTGTCCCTGGCCTGCTGGTGTGATGGATTCACTTGGGAGCTCCTGATGCTCCCAAGTACATGCCAGAAGCCCCTGGAGTGGCACCAGGTCTTAGGGCRTATCTGAATGCTGTGCTTCCTGCAGGCACCGAGATACCAAGAACGCTTCAGGAGCTTTAGAAAATATCCACGGAATGCCTTTTTTTCCATCTGTCTGATTCATCTAGTAATGACTGTCCAAGTTTTGGCACCCAAGAGTGGGAAAAATAAATAAATAAAGGAACCAAGGAAGAAAGATTGCAGCTTTCCTATCACCAGAGTTGCACGTGAGTGTGTCCCCTGCCCCATCCCTGCTGTCCTCTRCACAGGTCGTGAGACAGTGGCCCTGTGTCAGACAGGGCAGCTGTGCGGCTGTTTAATGGGTGAATGAAGTGAACATCACTATTGACCGGGTTTAGCCTGGGAGGGCTCACAGAGGCATTTAAAACCATTAGCACAGGGAGGAGATTGRTGGTGGGGGGTGTGTGTGAAGGGAATGACAATCCATTGTCTCCTGTTTGCATATTTTACTCATCCCTCCCCTCTAAGTGCTGGGATCCCCATACAGTCTCCTACTTCCTTTTGAATCCTTCCACCTCAGTCTCCCCAGTTTGCCCCGTCTGGAATCGCCTCCTCTAGCCCACGTGGCCTGAGRTTGTCCCCAGTTCCTCCTTCAGGTACCCAGGACACACAGTCCCTCCCCAGCCTGGATGGGAAGGAACCTTCATCATCCTCCCATGCTCTCCTCAAGGCTACCAGGACCCTCCCCTGCTCCTCCAAGTACAAAATTCTGACCCAAGCCCAGCGCTTTGCTGAATAAACGAGCGAGCAAAGATCAAAACAACGAGGGGGTTGTTGAGCAAAGAACATGAACATGTGGGGCACAAGTCAGTTCTCTGTTCCTCTGGTGAAAGATCAGCAAGATGGGTCCCTCACACCGGTACCAGTCCCCGTGTTCTCCTCCCCTCCGGCCACCCATCCCGGGAAATCCCACACTGTCAATCCCACAGGGACTCACCCTGCAATGCCGCTAGCTTGGCACTGCTCTGGACAATTGAACACTGTAGCCTCCACTACAACCCCCACCAATAGGATATGTTTCTGAATTGAATTTGCTGCTAATTAGCATTCTGCATTCATTTGCATCTGCCCAGAGACTACATGGGTACATTAAAAAAAAAAAAAAAAGGAAACAAAATACAAACATTATTAAGCTAATCAATTTGTACTCCTGCTTCTCCCAAACAAGATTAATTGAGAATCACTCTCCTAATTTAAAGGTCTAATGCTACCCCTGATGCTTTCCAGGGATATTGTCTAGTTTGCTGACAGCTCTCCTCTGTTTCAGATCACCAAAGAGCAAATCCGCTTTACTGGCCACTAGAAGTGATGACGTAAAAGAAAAAGAGATAGCTCCTGCCTTGTTGAACTTACACTGAGCTTTGACTGGTTCTAGGTAGTCAGAGACATGTGGGATTTTTCTCCGTGTCCAGGTCTACACTGTGGAAAGGCAGGGTTGTTCTCTCTTCCACTGCATATTAAAATATTGAAAGAGAAATGACAACATTGGTTGTAGCCTACTTTCTGCTTTAGGGTCAGTGCCAGACTCCCTGCAGGATCCATTCAATCTGCTAGCCTAAGCTGCCTTGTCTTTATTGCTATTTAATTTGCACTAGGCAAATTCAGTTAAGAATTTTTTTCACTTCAGGGCTGGCTTGCCAAGCCCCAAGCAGAGCTCCGGAGTTCAGGAGCACACAGTGCTGCAAAAGCTTATTTTTGGGAGAAGAAAAGAACAACAGGAGAGCTCAGGCAGTTTCCCTTGCCTTAATGTCTATGCAATCAGCTGAGGTCTSAGGATTCACACAACAGACATCAAAAAACCCTAGTAAGACCCAGGAACAGCACAATAAGGAGCAAACTGCTCTCCAAGACTTGTCAGGGCTAGTCTTTGTCCACATGATAATACTTTCTATTGACATCTCTTTAAATCTTAACATTGATTTGGAAATAAAAAAGCATCTTCTTTAATTTAAGACGGGATAAAAGGAAATGACATGAAATTCAGTGMGTGTAGTTTCATCGCAAACATGAAATCTGCACATGGGCAGGTGGTGAAAAACAGCATGAATCAAAATCCTCCGAGTTATTTCAGTACAAACCCGTGTTCGGAGGCCCCAGAGGCCAATCTGARCAGTCTGTGCGTGGAAAACTGCCAGAACTGGCACTGATAGGAGCCTTCAGCAATTGTTTCAAGGACTGCACTGGACACCGGATCACCTAGTTCCAGATCACGTAGCACGCTGAGGACAAACCGACCAAAATCACATGCACCAGAATCTGCTTGAGGTGCTGTTTTGGCTGCCCTTGAACTGAGGCTGCCTGCCTGCTTGCCCCTGCCCCATGATTTGAGGGAAGGTCCTCATCACTGAGCTATGTAGGTCAGCACTGCATTATCCCTGTGCCTGGAAGAGAGGATGCTAGAAGAGATACCATGCTAGGAGGGAGAGCAACAAAGCTGCTCTGATGGGGCTCGTTTGCTCACTCCTCGTAGCAAAACTATTACAGTGGCTCCTGTGTACTTCTGTAGCACGGGGCTTTCCAGCTAATTACCATTTCAACTAGAGCATAAATGTTTAGAGATATTTTCCTTGATTAAAAAGTTGCCACTCATGGGGAGTTCAACAGAGCTCTGSGAAACTGTTCCAGACATTTCCTTGTTGTTAAAGCTGATGCCCAACTGCTAGTTAGAATACTTTTAGCTCGCTATCAAACCCGAGCTCCTATTTTAGCTTTCTCAACTGGGAGAGCCTAGTAACAAGGTTTAACTGCCGTGACAGTATTTACTACTTGGCTATAGCAGGTCTCTCGACTTTCTTTCCGCAAAACTAAATTACAGAGCCACCTCGAGAGAAGGATTCAGACAGTAAGCAGTCAGCTACAGCGAACACTTAACTGCACTCCCAGACTGGAGCCCAGCTCCCTGGGATCCCCATATAGAGTTGTCAGAAACTACAAGGCAGCCGCTCCAGCCCACCAACAGCTACRGTGAAGTACAGAGATGTGAGCTCTCTAGTATCTGCACAGATAAAATACCTGACCCAACCTGCCAAGGAAGCCCAGAATCAGCATTTAATTCTGTTTCTTCCAGCCAGCATTACAATCTTTCCACATACAAATTATCCTGAAGTCCTTTCTGCAGTCACCCCACACTAGATTAGGCTATTGACCCAGGAAGGCACAATCCTTTCCTAACTACTTGCTTATCCCTATGGTGCTCAACACAGTTCCTTCTCAGGAGAGATCTCCTCCCTCTGCCTGTGAGCTAGGAGAGGAGATGGGAGAGGTGAAAGACAACTGCTCAGCACTTTCTGTCCATGATTCCTCACTGTGCAGCAAGGAAGATAAACTTTGTTGAACGAGAGGTAAGAGGGACAACAATCAAGAGATGGGTACTGAGTCAGGAGGCAGGTTCCCTCCTCTACCTATAGAACTTTGACATTGCATACAGCTTATTTTAAAAACTCAGGCATAGTTTTGAGAGCAAGACCAGACCTTGGGACCTCTGCCCTGTGAGTTTCCTCACCCACTAGATCTAATTTCTTTTTTTTTCTTAGCATCCCTCTGTTCTGTTGCCCAGCTGCAGTGTGAAGGGTGCAAAGGAGTCSTCATCTGGATGAACTACCCTGTGTTGGGTTACAGCATTTCCCAAGGAATGTGAGAATGGGCCCAAAATCCCAAACAAATGGAACTGGATCCTAATTTCCCAAAACTAATTCTACAGCCACAGTACCTCAGAGAAGAAAGCATGTACACTTGCATTTTGAAGGAACATGATCCTGCTGGAATAAGTTAGACAGGGCGAAGACACAATTTTCTAGCCAGGTCTTTGAGGTCCTAGGCCTCATCTGCACAACTTCTGGCTGCCTGGGAGTTTACACAGGAGTTTGGCACTAAGTGCTCGAGCCAGACCAGGCAATGCAGTTAATCAGCACCGAGCCTAACGATCTGTGGTTGGTAAAGGGACTCAGTGATTTCAAGAGCCTCTGAGCAGGGAGAGAGATTGTTTATTTTGGACTCAAAATCTACCTAAATCTTGCCTAAATGCTCAATATCTGCTTCAGAAAATAAGTCGTTCCCTATGAAGCATGTTTTCCAGTCCTTTATATATCTCACAACTTTATCTGGAGCTTGTTGCAGTTCCTGAGTGTCCCTCTTGAAGTGTGGACACCAAAACCGGATGCACTGCTCCAAACAGCTGTCACACCAGTGTCAAACGGAGCTAACACAGAAACAGCACCACTCCCAATTCTCTAGCTGTGCAGCTCTACCAAAGAAATGGTGAAAATCCATCCTCAGAGCTACTACCCAAGGAGCCTCCAGCACTACAACCAGGGTCAAAGGAAATGAATCCAGACACATGCATGGGGAAAAAAAAAAAAGAAAAAGAAAAGCACTTACCCACTGGTTCCAGGTCTCTGGGTCTGAGAGAAGCGCCAGTCTGTGTTAGGCTGAGCTTGCTGCAAAGAAAATAGAAAGTTTTAACTCCTCTATTCTTCTGTCTGAAATCAAAGCAAAGGGATCCTGGATTATTTCACTCTGGAATATCAGAGTATTCTTTCCACAGAAAGCATATCAACTAGAATAATAACCAAAAAAAAAAAAAAAAAAAGTGAGAGAGAAGAGAGAGACAGCAAGGGAGAGAGAAAAGAACATTAAACCCACCCTGCTTTCCTCACTGTCTCTGAAGCAGTGTGAATGCTAAAAAGCATGACAAAAACTATTCAGAGAATAATCTTCCAAAGAAGCTCAGGAAACCAGGCTGTGAAAGAAATGAAGCATGAAGCAATCTGATAAGGGCATTAATTTTAGCAGGAGAAATGGTACCAAAGTAACGAGTTTAGGGGAGCACATGGGAAGTGGGGGTGGCAAATTAACTGGAGAGTTAATTGATACTGGGAAAGATCCTTTTAATGCCAGAGGGTGAAATGATAACAGACCTCCCTAATCTGTCCTTCTCTGTCCTYAAAAAAGGCTTGCCTGAGATCTTGATTTCACACATTGTGTTTGAATGACTTTTCCTAGATGCTTTGGCCTTGGAGCACGGCAATATTTTTCTGTCCACACAGAAAARAATGAACTTCCGACAACCAGAAAAAAAGCATTATTTGTTCAGGGGACACAATAACCATGAGACACAGCAACATACTTTGTAACTCCATTAGCAGGCCTTGTATTCCTTTTCGTCCATGTTATTTTACCACCAGACAATGGACACTTTGTAAATAAGGAAGGACACGAAAAAGGACTCTGTATTACTCATTTGAATCATGCCTTTGTGAAGATCAGTAAAAAGCAGGACTCTTTTCTGTCTGAACGACGCATACTTCCTAAAATTGTAATCTTCTTAATTAACTCCAGAAGTGTTACCTGGAAATGCTACCTGGAAAGGGTAACATTTCTCTCAGTTACCTTAGGAATGAGCAGCTCACAGTCCATAAAGCGTAACAGAAATTTTATAGGATTATTCTGCTTGTACATGCAATTACTAAGGAAAATTGAAGACGGATACAGCTGACCTAGATTTTTATTTGGTAGATGTGATTTTGCTAATTTCCCCACAGCTTTGATGATTCTGGTGAAGGAATACATTAGAATAAATTACTGACTTCCCTAAAATAGCGGCCCCACTGTTCTCCATGCTGCATGCAAATTAAGTTGTTTAAACACTCGTCCTCTGGATTTCAGATACGCACATTTTCTGCACACACTGGCACACAATCTCCCAATCAATAAGCCCTTCCCAATCTATTTTTAGAATTCCTATTATAATTGCTACTTTCAAATTTAGGGCAGGCATTTACGGACACAAAATGTCTTTAGAGATATATGCCAAAGTTATAAAAGGTACAGCTAAATGCAGTCACCTAAATYCATATTTAGACATACAAATAAAAAGGTCTCGAGTTTTTGAAGCACGCTGCTGCCTAGGTCTCTCCAAGTTCAAGGGCATACAAGGTCATCACGACCTTAGAGGAAAACATCGCTACTTCTGGTGATGAATTACGAATTCAAAGCCCCCTGCCTTAACTTGCCATGGTTGATAGAGATCACTTGCCTGGGCGCAATCAATAGTTAACATTTCAGAGTCAAAAAATGAGAAATTTCTACAGCACACCTCCTAAACCAGAGCAAGATAAGCASTGAGAAACTTTTCTTTATGGTAACTTCCTTCTGTGCCTAGGTTCATAGGACACGCAGAATAAAGTTAAATGCCAAAAAAAAAGAAAAAAAAAAAAGAAGAAAAAAGAAAAGAATATACAGATCATGCTAAGAATCTCTTTAAGAATAAATGAGTACCAAGAAGGCCAAAAGAAAATTCTCCTGTTTTAACCCAGCTGTCACAATCACACAGTGTTTCAGTTGACCGTGACTTTCACCGCTTGCCATCACACCACCACGCAGAGCCAAATCCTTCACCAGCCACCTCCCGGGCAGGTGAAGGCAACATACTCATCCTCAAGGCCACCTTCTTTAGCGGAAGGACAGGCAGAGAAGAGCAAAGTAACCTGGACAGTACAGACCACTGCCCATAGCAAACAGGACGGCACAAACATCACCCATTTCTTACCCCATCACAGGGACTCGCTAAGGTGCTGGTCGCCTGCTCATAGGCAACCATGCTTTCGGCGGTGCTAGAATGGCTGAAAGGTTTTACAAAGAGGAAATCGCTTTGATCAGACATGGGAGAGAAGCAGGAGGTGTATTGCTGTGCCTGGGACGTCAGGCCTGCTCCTCCCACATCCAGGTACTTGATGAAGCCGTCCGGCTTCAGCTGCCCRCGGAAATGGGTGGTGGGCTTGCGGCCTGTCCCTTGGCAGCAGCCCATGAGGGTCCAGCTGGAGCCAGAGCCAGCCCTCAAACATCTGGCGCCCACAATACCAAATGTCACACACGACACCAAGGAAAGGGACACAAGGGAGATGATAAGGTAAAGAGTTATGTTGGGATCCTTGGGAGAAGATTTGGGGAGGTCCATAGACTCGGCAAAATCCTGCATGTTCTCCTCCAGAGAGATGACTATTGCCACAGAGGCTGAGAGGGACGGCGTCCCRTTGTCCCTCACTTCAACCACCAGCCTATAGGGAGCTTCTGACTCCTGAAGGGCCCGTGCGACCCTTATCTCTCCAGAGCGGTGCTCTATGCGGAAAGGCAAAGTTTCAACACTTTCCTCCAGATGGTAGGACAGCCAGGCATTATGGCCACTATCAGCATCCACAGCTACTATTTTGGTGACCAAATAGCCAGGTTCTGCCAAAGCTGGGATGGCTTGGTGGAAGGCGGAGCCCTTGGGAACAGATGGGTAGACGATGGYGGGAGCATTGTCATTCTGGTCCATGACAAACACATGGACCACAGCAGTGCTGCTCAGAGCGGGAGACCCAGCATCCTTCACCTCCACAGGCACCTGGAACACCTTGTCCTGCTCAAAATCCAAAGCCTGGATGGTGTAGATGGTGCCATTATCCTGGTCTATTTGGAAATAAGTTGAGATAGGTAAATCTTGCAGCCCGTTGTCCAGCATAGAATAAGACAGCTTGGCATTGCTTCCCTCATCAGAGTCAGATGCTGACACTGAGAAGACAAAGGTCCCCGGAAGAGAGTTTTCTTGAATGTGAGCCGTGTAGGAAGGGCTGGAGAAGTTTGGCGCATTATCATTCACATCAGCAATTCGGAGGAAAATTGTTTTTTGTGTGGACCTCTGTGGGGACCCTGAATCTGTAGCCCTCACAGTGATGTTGTATTCACTGGCCTTCTCCCGATCAAGGGGGCCATCTGTGACCAGTGAGAAGTGCTCTTTGAAAGATGACACAAGTTTAAAGGGGAGGTCTTTAGCTATCTGAAGGTGGACCTGGCCATTGTCACCAGAATCGCTGTCTTTCACMCCAATGAGGGCAATCACAGTTCCCGGGATTGCATCCTCCTGCACTGGGCTGGAGAGGGAAGTCAGCACAATCTCTGGGCTGTTATCGTTGATATCGATTAATTCCACTCGCAGGTGACAGTGTCCCTCCATGGCCGGTGATCCCTTGTCTCTGGCTCGAACTGCAATCTCATAAGCGCTGGATTCCTCGTAGTCCAGTGAGGCTTTGGTTCTGATCTCCCCTGTCTGAGGATCCAAGTCGAACAACCTGGTGAACTTCCCAGGTGCGTTATTGCTCGTTTTGAAAGAATATTCCACTTCCCCATTGAGGCCTTCATCCAAGTCGGTGACATTCAGCTTGGTGACCAGTGTGCCCACTGGCACGTTCTCCTCCAGATGCACTTTGGATATGGGTGGGTCGCAGACAGGTGGGTTGTCATTTGCATCCAGGACATGGATGGTGATCTTGGCAGTGCCAGATTTCACTGGATTCCCTCCATCCAGGGCTGTCAGGGTTAAATGATGGACAGCTGCTTTCTCTCTATCCAGTGCTTTCTGGAGGACAATCTCAGGCATTTTAACACCATCTCCTCTCACGTTGATACTCAGGGCAAAATGCTCACTGGGGCTGAGCTCATAGGTGGCGATGGARTTGGAGCCCATATCAGGGTCTTCCGCTACCTCCAGGGGTAGCCGAGTCCCGGGGTTGGCGACTTCGGTGATCTCCAAAGCCACTTGCTGCCTGTGGAACTGCGGCGCATTGTCGTTCACGTCGAGGACGTCCACCTCGACTCGGTGAAGCTGGAGGGGATTCTCCATGACGAGCTGGAGATGCAGGAAGCACGTGGGGCTCTGGCCGCACAGAGCCTCCCGRTCCAGCCTGCTGTCGAGGAGCAGCACCCCCGCCGCCAGGTCCACCTGGAAGTGCCGCTGCTCSCCCTCGCTCACCAGGCGCAGGTTGCGGGCGGCCAAGCTCCGCACCTCAACCCCCAGGTCCTTGGCCACGTCGCCCACGAAGGAGCCCGGCTCGCGGTCCTCGGGCACGGAGTAGCGGAGCTGGGCGCTGCAGGGGGGCGGCAGGGCGCAGAGGGCTCCGAGCAGCAGCAGCAGCCGCTGCCATCGCAAACTCCGCGCGCCGTGCATGCCGCGGCGGCTGTGCGAGCGGAGCGGAAGCGGCTCCGAGCAGCCTCCCCCTGCTCCCCGCCCTCCTCTGCCCCGCTCCCAGTCCCGCTCCCGGAGCCGGAGGCTCCGCCGCGCAGCCCCGCGCCGGAGCCCCCGCGCCCCGCGCAGCTCCCGCGGGCCGAGCCGGGCAGAGAGAGAGCGGGGCGGGCGGGGGCGGGGGGGGCTCGCGGACACGGTCGCAGCCCCGCCGGCTGAGCGGCTCCTCGGCACACAGAGGCGCGCAAAGTCGGCGAGCGCAGGGGACGAACCGAGTGACAGTTTTACGTCTCACAACAGCGGGGGAGCCCCCTCCTCCT